ACGGCAGTGTGTAGCATACTCTCCTCTCATTGGTCAGTCAATGAAACCCTCGCTGATTGGTTGTACGCTAAGCGACAGCGACAAAAGTTTAACGTTTTTCAACTTTCATGTCGCATCGCAAGCTCGCGTGTGCACGTCTACGTGAACGAGCGCGAAATTTCACATGCACTATTTTCGCCGGTCGCTTAGCTGGAGGAGGGCAAGAGATTGTCGCCTCGTCGCACAGGCTCCATAGGAAATGAATGGAGAGTGAGCGACGTCGCCTCCCGTGTGTCGAGCCCTTTAGAAAGAGGTGTCTGAGGGCTCTGACCCTCAGTGCCCCCCAACACCAGATGATTTCTGCTCAGAGACATCTTCTGCATTTAAATTAGTCTTCTCTGGGTTTTTAATCTGATTGGCAAGTCACTGTGTTTATAATATTAACAACAAAACATTGTAGAAGGAAATGTTTTTTTTCTGTTGTACTTTGATTAAAAAAAGATAAACCAGAATAAATACCAAGAAAGTGATAAGAGATAAGACATAAACAACAGCAAACAATGAATCAACAAATCATATTTTGATTTCAGTTCTGTAAAACCCTAGCTGGAGTCTTTTTTCCCTGGACATTATTTCCTGATTGTTTTATAGATCTAAAGTTCAAACAGAAACCAGCAGATTCCTTATCTTTAAAGCCACGTCTGTGTTTGTTTCCCTCTGATGTGGCAACAAACTCCCTCTCTACAAGTCGTTTATAAAATGTTTGGATTTTAAAACCGAGACTGAAGCGTTGATTGAAATATCCTGGAAAAAACTTCCCTTTGAGATTAACCTCGTCATAAAAATGAGACGACAAAATGTGAGATTCAGATGAATTCTCATCTTTCTGTGTTTCAGGTCAGATGCAGAAGCCTTTTGAAGATGCCTCCTTTGCTTTGAAAGTGGGAGACATGAGTGGTCCTGTTTTCACCGACTCTGGAGTCCACATCATCTTGCGCACTGGCTGAATACACATACACACACACACACACACACTACTTCCTCCACTCTGTATTTACACGTTCAACCAACCAGCCCTGCGATTTGTTTTCGACGACAGAATTAAAGCTTACAACCTGTATGGTGATTATTTTAGGTGGAATGAATTCTTCCATGTGTTACAGAGCAAGTATGAATAATTACACTGACATGAAAGATTATTTCATGATAAGAACAAAAAAACAACAAATATAAAAACTAATATTGTGTGTTGAAACACATGAGCAAAGTTCAACACTATAAAAGCTTGTAACTGGTATGTGCATGTCTCTAAAATGGACCATTTACTGTCTGTTTTTTTTTTTATTATTATTTTCTGTAGCATTTTTTTATTCTTTCTACCAAAGCGGTTTTCTTTCTTTTTTTTTTTTTGTCTAATGTTTAAAAGTTTTAAATGTTACACGTTCTACAGATGTTTATCTGAAGCTCATCTTTCTGGCATCACTCTAGCCTTGCTGTTACCTGCAGATCTGTAGAAATAAATGATGTCTTTGTGCATGGTCCGTCCCCTGAATGTGTTGAGGAAGAACATGCAGGTTTTAACAAAAAATAAAATAAAATCTTTACAGCTTTTAAAACTTGTGTTCAGATGAACTGTTAACACTGTTGTTGTTGGAGAATAAAAGTAAAAAAAAAATGACTTTCTATAGTTTTTTGTCACTTATTTCTTTTCTTTTTTTAGGTTCTTGATTTTTTGATTTTCTGAATTTAAACAAAATAAACACGTTGATCCAAACAGAAATGTTTGTGTGAATTGACCTGATCTGCCTCAGACCAGAGGAAGACTTTTAGTGTTTAATTAAGACTTTGTTGCCTGTAACCTTTTGTAGATTTGAGTCATATTTTTGGTTCATTTTCTGTTCTGAATTTTGATCCAGGTGATGTCCCCCACCTCAAATTGAAACAAACTTTGTTTAAATTGTTCGACATTTAACAGACAGAAACTTTCAGCTCCATTGCCYATCATTTCTGTCTGACAGGTTTTATTTTCTAGGAGGAAATGTGACTATTTGTATTTACACACTTATATCTTATGTTTTACCAGATTTAAGCTTCAGCACATTATGCTGCATCTAATTCAATATCAAAATAAGGGTGTGTGGGTGTGTGTGTGTGTGTGGGGGGGGGGGGGTCTGATTTGGTTATTTATAAGAATTTAGCTGCAGATTTGCTTGTGGCATTTTCAGCAAATGTTTATGAACACACATTTTTTTAAAATAAAATAGCTGCTAATCTGCAAAACTATTGGAAATGGTTAAAGAAACTTGTTTGAAATTGACATTTTGATGACTCAAAGTAAAAAAAAATATTCTGACACTTTAATACAAACTGAAGGTTAAACTGATAGCATAAGTTAAATGAGTAACACAAATTAATTTAAAAATGGTATGGAACAGTAAGCTGAGGTGTGGGCTTAGGTTTGTTATCTTTGTTTTGTTTAAGAAATCCCAGCAGATGATCAACTTTTCTGCTTTAAGTGTGATAAAAGTGCAAAAAAATTCAGAAAGTTCAAAACTAAAATTGTATTTTAATCTGTTGACTGATGAAACTTGAGTTTTAACTTATTAAAAAGTGTTCTGTTAGGATTGAAAAACAGGAGACAACAAAGCACTGTGCTCATTTTCCTCCATAAAGATGCTTCTTATCTCAGCTTTTTCCAAGGTGATTTCCTCAAACCTGTCGATGGTTAATTTATACGATCTTTATCTCTTTATAAAATGTCCCACCCAGAGTCTGTTGCATCTTTATAAACTGTGACCCTCAATTCGTCTTTGATCCAGTGATTCCTGTCCAGCTCAGTTTGATTCACTGGAAGAGGTCCAGCAACAAGATTTTCAGCATCTGGAGAAGGTAAAACCTGTTTAAAATGTTAAAAAAAAGGGAGATGTTGAAACGAATGCACTCCTCCAGGATGAAGCAAAATGAGTCATGTTTAGATTTGTGTCTGAAAGAAGAAAAAGAAGAAATCCTGAAGCAGAGATGGTAAAGAATATTTAAACCATTCATCTTGCAGCATCAGAGGTACTCGGTTCTGGAAACATGATGCGTGTACAGAATGTGAATGTGAGGACAAATGGTGTTTATTGATACAAAATCTGCTTGTGTCTTTCTAAAAGAATGACTGCAGGATTGTTGCATGCTAATGGACATCTGTGAATAACATATGTTGTTTTTTGTAACGGAGAAATCAGGGACATCTGAGTTCAGAATAAGACCAACATTTGCACTTCAGACTATTTTTAAATATATAAAGTCATTATATTGGTTTGGACAGGCYGCTTGATCAGATACAGGTATATTCTACTTTTATACCCATTCTGCAGAACMCCACTTCAAAATTATTGCTTTCAATTACCTTTATAAAACCTCAGTGTATAGAATACCTAAATGTTGCCTGCAGACAACTTCTCAACTTCCCTCCATGTCCCAGTGCCACGTTTTCTGTCTTTGCTTTTTTTATGATTTTTCATAATTTATTAGCTTGGAGAATAATGAAGCTCATTATAGGGTGTAAGGTTATTATTTCGCAGCCTCTCCTCATCCCTATAAAGAAGAAACACCCTGATGAGGTCAGGTTTTAGTTGATATTTTGGATGAAGTAGTTTGAGGAAAAATGTGACGAGGAAAAAAAACATAAAATAAACTATAAACCAATACAAATGCTGTAAAATCTTTCTTCTTTAAATTAAAATAGTGCAAAATAAGGATCTGTTATGTGTGTTTTTGTCTAAAATATTCCAGCCATGACGTCCTGTTCATCTTCAGCCGGTCTCCTCCTGAGCCTCGTCCTCTCTCTGTCTCCTGCTCTCTGCTGTCGCATCGGGAACCACAGCGAATGTGATGCTGCTGTTTTTGTACCAGGCTACAACCTGGTGGGGGAGGGCTTCGATGTGGTCACCCTGCAAAGAAAGGGGGCTTATGTGATTGATGTGAAGACTTACTTTACTCCAGGCGGCACCTGCACACTCTGCTCCAACCCTCTTCAAGGCAACAGGCTGCAGAAAGTAAATCAGAAATGTGTCGAATGAATAGTTGCTCATAACTTTTTTGCTGACACGTCAGTTTTCTTCTTCAGCTCCCAGTTTCTGTGCTGGACTGGCGTGCGTTCAGTCGATGCAGTGCTGATATCTACAGTAGTTATCACTCTTCTAGCAGGTTCGTATTATAATCACAGAACAAGTTATGTCAAAGGAAATACTTTTCCAAACATCTTGACATGGTTTTTTTTTACTCAAGTCTCTTTCAAGTCAGAGTAAAAGCTGTACTCTCTCATGAGAAAAACAAACTCGGAAATTTATAATTATACAAAAAACAGAATCTCAGTAATATTTATGATTTGACTGTTTTGTTCAGTCTGCTTCAACTTGCAATTAGGTGATTAATTCAGTCAGAAATAAACATTTTTTCCAAACTGGTGTTGCATAAACAGTCATCTACAATAAGTAAGATATTAATTATTTATAACCTTTCAACAGGACCCTACTACAAWTGATCTGAACTCTTTTCATATCACACAATTTCATTCTAATTCTATAAATTTAATATATAATATAATACAACTGTAAATATAAAGTGCTTTTGGTTTTTCCTAGTTTACAGCTTTTGTTTTCTCCCCTTTAAATTCTGTTCACAGCTCAATGATCAACACTTACACAGCTCAGGACAGCAATGACTGGAAGGTAGGAGACATCTTGCAATTATTGTTCACATWAAATGAGTTTATGTAATGGATTTATGTAATGGAAGAGATGACCTAAACAAACTTTGCTCTGTTTTTTGTGTTYTATATTTAACTCTGTTTAAATTAGGACACAGTCTAGTGGTTATGATRTGTATCAGTCAGGATTTCTTTAGCTTTGTGTTCCAGAATTAAGCCAAGATTAGAGGTCTAACAAGTCATGARCCTAACTTTTAATTATATATTTCATTAGGTTGGTCTGGATGTTGAAAAGTATGTGTCTGCCGGCCTGGAGGTTGGAGGAACAGGCTCCACTTCTTATAGCTTCGCTTCACAAAGAACAAAAGAGGACCGCTACACTTTCAGTACACATAGGRTCACCTGCAGCCATTATGGGTAGGTGGTAAATAAAAAATACAATTAAAAATGAAAAATACAATTTTTCCATCAAAGTTTTAAAATTTTAGCTAATTGAAGTAATTAATATTGTGCAGCTACCGTGTGTCAACGAGACCCCCCTTCAGCTCCGAGTTCAAAAAGGATGTAAACAGACTGCCGAGTCACTACAGCCCCTCCACCGCTGCTCAGTTCAAAGAGCTCATCAACACCTACGGCACACACTATATCCGACAGGTTCAAACTCACACACTCTTTAAGTCATTTTGTGCATRAAAATAAAAATGATCTTAAACACTGAACTTTGTTTTAGGTTAATCTTGGAGGACGGCTGAGACGAGTATCAGCCTCACGAACCTGTTTGTCCTCACTGAACGGGTTAACCTCAGATGAGGTAAATTAATCATTTGTGGTTGATACAAGATGTTTTATACTTTTCCAATAAYTGTAACTTGAGTCAATCAGTACAGTCAGGAACATAAAAAAATAAAAGGAAACCTCTGCCAGTGTTGTTTTTGGATCAGCAGATGGAAAAAAAAAAACTTGTGAACTTGTGATTATGCTCCTTGTGAAAACGTGATTATGCTACTTTATCATTTTTCACTATTTTGTTTATTGTATACAGGTTTTATGTTACAAAACTTAGCATGTACCTTTTTGAGTGATCAATGCAACATCCATTTGTTTAAAATTTTGTTTAAAAATGCTTGTTTGTTGTAATGGTTGGTTGGACGGATGGACGGATTGACTAGTTAGTTGGTTGGTTGTGTATGGGTTGGTTGATTGAAGGATGAATGGTGGATTGACTAGTTGGTTGGTTGATTGACTGGTTGGTTGATTTAATGACAGATTGGTTCATTATAGGACAGTTWTATAGTTTAATTGTAGGTGTCCAAACATTTGTATACCACTGTTAATCATCTCGTCGCTCCTTTTGTCATGCAGGTCCACTCCTGTTTATCAGTGGGTATTGCTGTTGGTCTGGGAAAAATTAAATTATCTAGTGTCCAAAAGTCTTGTAAGAAAGTTCTAGAGAACCAGGATGTCTCTACTGGCCAAAGCTCAGGTTTGCACCAACACTACACAGAGGTATCAGGAGGCAATGGATGGCTGGGGGAGTTTTCACTAACTCATAATGACTCTTCGGGTTATTTGAAGTGGCTGGACTCACTGAAGGATCACCCAGACGTTGTTTCGTACTCCCTTCGGCCAATTTATCAGCTCATGTCAAGTGAGACACAGAAGGCAGGGATGAAGGCCACCATTGAGAAGTACTTGGAAGACAATGCTGTGAAGATCTCCCCCGGAGAACCCCAGTGCGAGGTGTCAACTAATCTGGCCTCCAACTGCTGTCCTATGCATGCCTCCAAGGGGACGCTGGCAGTGACCATTGTTCAGGCCTGGAATCTGAAAGGAGATCTAACTGGAAACACTGACAGGTGGGTTCACAAAGTCACAGATTCAGATMTTACATTGGWAGACAAGCAATAATGATGCATCTCTTCTGCTTCTTCTCTCTTCTTATTACAGCTATGCCAAGATGCGGTATGGTTCCATATATCGCAGGACCCATATGATCCGATCAAACAATCCCAAGTGGAATGCTTATTATGATTTAGGAGAGGTCAGTAAATTTCTACTTCACAAATATGTTCAAAATGCAATATAACGCCAACAATGAGCTTTACAAATGTAAAGCAAGTACAAGTACTATGGAACAATTTGTGGATTTCCTGCCTCTGATTCTTAGTTCGTAACAATAATTGGTTCTTATATCATCAATAAATGTTCTTAATATTTGACAGATGACACAAAAACAAGCCTTAACTTGATTATAATTTTCTTCTGCAGGTGGACACACAGTTTGGTTTGACTATTGAGGTTTGGGATGAGGACGTAAAGCATGATGACTTCCTCGGTTCATGTGTGAGGGACSTGAGCCAGGGGTCCCGCAGTTTCACCTGCCAGCTAAATAAGAAAGGCAGCGTTGAGGTCAAATACACTCTTAGCTGCGGCCCTCATCTGACTGGAAACAAATGTGAACGTTATAAGCCAGGCCCAATCCCAGAGTAACAAACGCCTTTGGGAGGACTACTTAATTCAATCATGTGTGCTATAAGCACTCTTAGGCTGGTTTTTCTTCCGTGAACAATGTTTGAACATATATAAACATAAAAGCAATATTTGAAATGAAAATTCTACACTTCTGTTGTCTATTTTTATAAAAAGATCAATCAGCTTTGCTCACAATAAATATACAAGTACATGAGTACTGTGTCAGTGTGCCCCAGGGCAGCTGTGGCTACAGTGTAGTTTGCCATCATCAGTGTGTGAATGTGAGTGTGAATGGGTGAATGTCTGTTAGTGTAAAGCGCTTTGGGGGTCCGGAGGGACTTGAAAAGCGCTCTATAAGTTCAGTACCATTTACCATTTACTATGTGTGCCATACCTGTAAAAAAATGATGCACATTTTTAAGTGACTTTTTCTCAAAGTAAAATATGATTCAAAACGTGTGCTTTGTGTTGTTTACATAGTTTTCAGATGGTCTTTTTTAATGTAAATTTTCTGTCAGTCATCTGACTGAATAAAATCAAGACAAATATATATTTTCCTTTTTTGTATGTGTGTGCATTTATTATTGTGATTTTAGACAGTTCTTTGAAATARTTAAAGCAACACATACGCACACATCATTTCACATGATTTGTGGCAGAATATTCGCATGAAGTGTTTACGTATGTAAAAGTAGATTTTGAAAATACAGCTGAATGCAGGACATACATCTACTTTATGAAAAAATAATTCTGGGGGAGTCACTGGATGTCACATAATCAGTGATTAGACATAACTGTACTACATCTGTTGGCAAATCCTTAGCTTTTATATTGCCATACTTTTCAAACTGCTGTTTTACAACAACAGCACGATTGAATTTCTGTTATGGATTTTTGTTTTGATGTGCCACCCCTGGATTTTCAATGCACCCATAAAAAATTCTGSAGGTGCCACTGCTTTCTGTAAAATGGCTCTTGTGATAAAACACTTAAATGTGTAAATAGGGCTGCCACAAACGATAATTTTTATAATCGATTAATCGTCAATTATTTTTTCGATTAGTCGACCAATCAGATCATATGTTAATTGAATATAAAACATACAACTTATCGTGTCAGAATGCAGCTGCTATTATATAACCATCATTAGATTTTAGCTATATGCTAACTAAAAATAATTGCTGTGGAAGGCAAGTTCTGCTCTGCAGATATTACACAGGTTTCTCTTTCATTTTCTTAAAATGATCCCACACTTTTCAGCTCTGTTGCTGGGTAGCCATCATACCAGAGCCTGTCTGTATAATGTCTTGTGACGCCCACGGCCTACACGGTTACCACTACTGTGCATGTGTGTCAAGGACAGAAAGGCAGATGTGGCAGTGGAAGGTGTCAAAGCAGTTTGGAGAGAAAAACAAAGTAAAGAACAAAAAAATAAAGAAAACGATTAATCGACTATTAAATTAGTCATCGATTATTTCAATAATCGATTAGTCGTCGATTAATCGACTAATCGTGGCAGCCCTATGTATAAAATGTTATACCAATCTAGTCCTGGAAATACAAACAATGACTTACCTGACCAAGAMAAAGTATTGTCCCATTAGTCCAAATTATAATTAAATGATTGATGTGTGGTTGATGCAGTGATTCCTTCAAGGAATGTCAGTCCCCTTAATGAAAAGCCTCCTGTACCAGCCGGCTGCTTCCTGCAGTAAAGGACTACAGGAAGTCTTTTACTGTGAGGACTTTCAGCCTGACGTGTGTTAATAAAAACATAACAAAAACAAATGTCCTGCAGAGACCAGAGRAGTCCTCCGTCTCATCTTTTTAGGAGCGACCCGGAGGCTCAAGCAGGACCAGGAGCTGCTGCCAGACAGACGCACGTGTTTCTGATTAGTGTTAATGAGCTGAAGCCCCTGGCTGAAGAGGACAGACACCACGATGGAGGAGGGACGGTCCGTGACGCCTCGGGACTTTATCTGAGAGGCTCTCCGCAGGAAGACCGTACACCATTCGCGCCCTTTCAGTGTTTAGTTTGTTTGTTAAAGCGCAAAGATGGGGTAGACTTCTGAAAAATCTGCACTAATTTGGAAACTAACAGGTCTCCGACTCTGAAATGTCTCAACATTGGAAATGCAGCTCCACGTCTGTCTGTTGCTTTTTCTCCTCAGAACAGGTAGGAGCATTTAACTCTGTTTAACACACATTTTAGACTATATAAAACTGTAACTGTATTATTTATAATTGAAAGGGGGAGGATAAAAATCCATTATTTCAATTTAAATTAAATTAAAAATATTTTTAAAAAGCTGTTTAACCTTGGCCCATAAGAACTYTGAACTCTTGTAATTTATCAAATGCAGTTATGTGAGCTATTTGCTAAGTTTTTATTTATTTACCTATTTTATTGACTACTATATAAATGGATTGTTTTAAAGAATTCMTTTGCATTAAAGATCCTCCCAATCTCACAAGCCACACAGAGACAATAAGATTATTAAGATTATTCTGTTAAAATGAGTGCTTCCTAAAGTTGGGGTCAGGACCCCACTGGACCACAAAATCCTCAGACATTCTCCATATGTCAATTCCCATTAAACATGTTTGACTGGCCTGTTTTCCACTTGTGTTTTTTGTTTACAGTCTTAATTGAATAAAAAAATGTTTTGTGGTTAGGACTATTTGTGTTATCCTYTTGATTAAAAAGGATTACGAGCAAAGGTTTTGTAATATATTTTTGTGGGTCAGAAGCTTAAATTTCTAAATGACTACATTAGCAACCTTTCAGTAGAATCTGTCCATCTTTTTTCAGATCCAGTACAGGCCTGGTCAGACCAACAGTGTGGTGGAAATGTCAGCCTGGACCAACAACCTGGTCACATCAGACTCCCTCTACCGGGACTTTTTAATGACACCCGAACTCTCAACCCCGTTACCCAACAGTCTGACAGAACTGTACAGACCTGCACCTGGCTCTTAGACTTACCCTTGGGTAGGACGGTACTTTTAAAGTTGGATTGGTCAGAAAGTGGCACAGGGGTCTTGGTGTGTTGTGCTGGGAGTGAGGAAGATCGGGTCTTACGGAGGGGGGACATGACTCTGCTTTCCGGCTGTGACGGGAACAAAGCCACCCTCAGCTGGAGGGGAACAGGACACTCCTCGGATTCACTTCGGCTGGTATATTTTGGTGAGCAAACATTCCTCAGTTCAACAACTTTAAAATTTGGGACATCGTGGGCCTAATTTGTGGATCATGGGAGCCTAATTTAATCTGAATAAAACTTGTTTATTTTAGAGTAGAGCTGCAGTCGGTTTGTTCAGGCTGCTGGGTGTGAAAGTGTTTTTGTGCACTAAATTCTTTGGAAAGTTCTTATCTCACTTATTATGATGTGTTGGAGAAATGTTATGATGTTGTGCTTTCCTCTGTCCTCACCCCATTTGTTTCTGGTCATCTAGTTCAGGAAGATGAGAGGAATTCTTCAGGGGATCGCTCTCAGATGGGAAGTACCGTCACAAATATTGCTACTGTTGCTCAGGAGGAGGTGAAGGGCACGGAGGAGGACAGACGTCGCTTCTACAACATTCTGGTGGGGAGTTTTGGCCCTCAATTTGCGTCTAGCACCTATTCTCAGGACAAGGGTTTGCTCCGCCCCACCTTGCCCCAGCAGGGGCTTCCAGTCTCTGGGAGAGCTGATAGGGAAACTCTCCCTTTTCCTGAGGAAAAACTGAACAATGGACCGGATGCATCTGGTGCTTCTCACCTCAMCAACGATCCCACAAGTTCCAGAACGCTCTCATATTCTCAGCACGCTATCCCTGCAGATAGAAAACCCCAAACAGAAAATCCTACTGTCAGTCCAACTGAAATGTCCCGGACTGATTCAATAATGACTTCACTCAGCACAGATTTATTCAAATCTGCATCTACTGAAACATCTACGCTTCGAGACCAAAATGTTACTCAAACAGACCAAAGTGTGTCTGACTCTAGAGTTCTCAACGTTTCACCTTCACAGATGCCATTGGAGCCTAGTACCAGACTGTATCCACTTGATGGTGCTATTGGATCAACACCTCAAGCTCTTCCCTGGACAAGTTGGCAAAGAGTAGATGGATGGAGCTCTGATCCGACCTCCAACCCTTTAAAATCATCCAGTGAACCTCCACAGCATGTCCCGAGCAGTGCAAACGCAGACAATCAACCCACTCAGTCATCTTCACCCGGTTCTAGCGAGACTCGATCGCTCTACTCCCACCTCGCAGAGCTTGACACTGCTTCAAGTTTGGGTGACTCCTCTACAGCTGATGTTCCCACTCGGACCGCTGCTGCTGAGTCTTTTGACAAAAAGTTTGGAAATGCAGATGTTCTTCACACTCTTGCTCCTTCCACGCAGAGTCAAGCAAACACTCCAGGAACTCCTGAACGCTCTTCATACACCTCTGCATGGAAACCAACATTAACAGATATGCAGAACAATACACACATCGCTACGAACTCTACCCTTTTTACTTTTGACAAAGATGTAGGACAAACCCCTGACTTTGTAGGCCATTTTTCTACATACCAAAACCACATGACAAAAATCAAAAACTCAGCTTCTACAGCAACAACCAGTGAAATATTTACACCACCATTCTTTGAGACAATCCCACATGACAACTCTGTCACTGATTCTACTCCGTTATCATCCAGCACAACCACAGAGTCATCTGTACATTCAAACACACTCCAAACCCATGTTTCTCATGGTATTCACACAACTTTAACCTCTTCTGTCTCTGAATCCTCACAAACCTCACATTCATACCATCTTCCATCCTCCACAAACATCACTGCATATAAACAATCCCACAGCTTTATCACCGCCGCAGTAACCTCTCCACCGTCGACTACAAAGTCAGATTACAGGAAGGTGAAGGGAAAGAAAAAGAATAAATTTAGGCAGCAGTCTACCACAGCTGGACCAGCCTTACAGCCCAGCCAGCAGAGCCTTACTGTGTTCACACCCTCTGTTTTGACCGCCACACCCGCTCAGAGCTCCACAACAAGTCCAGTGTTCTACGTTGTAGCAAACCAACCTGCGACAATCAGAGGTACTGTTCACATCACATTTGTGTTATTTTTGGATTGTAATTAAACATCCAGGTCATGTACCCAGGCTCGTTTTTAACTGACTTTGTCTCTGTTCAGTGGACTCRGTTGAGCTTCTCCTGCAGATAGTTGTTGAAGACTTCAAATCAGCTTCAGCTCCTGGTTTGGAGGAAGACACGGCAGCWTGGGTGAGGAAAATGCACAAACCTTGGTGTAAGCCACCCAAATATATTGTGGCTTTTTCACCAATTCTATTTTTTTTAATTTTAGGTACAACCTTACCTACAGAGAGTCCCAGGCTTCAGTAAACTGTTGGATGTCTGGAGCAGGTAAGGTGATGGAGAGAAACCAAGGAGTACATAWAAGCCATTATCCTCAAGTTGTTTGAGAACATTTTACATTTAAATTCTAATGTATTGCCCAAGAAACAAATCATCTAGAAAAAAYTGTTTTGCTGTATTTACAGAATATTTAAAAAACTGCCTTCTATCCTAATTTTAGCAGCATGCTTCAAGSTGGAGCTGGGTGTGGCAGAGCCAACCATATAAACTAGTTCCTATCAAAAGAGCGCCACAGTTTATATAAAAAGACTTTGTCTGTTTGTAACTGACATGTTGACAATAGCTCCCAGTATAGTTTTGCTAAACCTGCAAAATATAATGATTTGAGATCAGTCTGAGACAATATTTATCAAAATAAAGTGGATTACATTCTTTCCACCTACTCTTTTTTCTGGGTGAATGCAGGATCTTTTCTTTGGAATGTCATACGCAGTTATCAAGTGAGCTTAAAGATGAAAACAAATGTTTGAAGTAACCAGATTTTATTATTTAAAGAGTCCTTAATTTAAAGCAACAGTTGGTTTCTGACTTTGTGGTACTGACTTTCTTGTAATAGTTCTTCAACATCACAAACTTGTTTTATTTCTAGTGGATTTTTGTTAACTATTTTTCCTGATACTATTTAGAATTGTTTATATTTTCAAACCCCTGACTAAACTTAAATGGGTAAATGAGTGCAATGTACAAAATGATTTCATACCAGATATTATTTAAATAAACTAGTTCATCATCATGCAGACAGTAAATACTTTCATACAAAGCAGCTAACATGACAACTCACATTTGTCTTTCAGTAAAACAAGAGAAAGTGCTACTAGGGGCAAATCTACAAAATCTGTCATTTTTATAGTTTGCTTGTGAGTTAAACCAAGCAAGAAGACATGTCCTACTTTGTATTTGAATTGTACTGAAAGGAGACATATGTCAAATGCACTTTTTTTTATCAATTAAGTACATTTTGTTGTGCACTTGCGCAGTTCAGAACATTTTATTTCATTCTCTGAGGGGCTTGTGGAGTTACAATAAGGAGAAATTTAGACCAAAAGACTGTTATACAGGCCCCAACTGAATTATTTAAATGTGCAGTAGAATTTTAAAAGCATAATATGTCTCTCAAAAAAAAATCTATCTATCTATGTATCTATCTATCTATCATTGTGACTGGATCATGTTGGTGTTTAAAATGTGTTGACTCTTGCTGTTCTGCTTTCTGCCCCAGTGGTCATGCAGTTCAGAGTCTGGTTGTGTTTAAAACCCGTGGGGCCCTGCAGTGGCTCAGCATGAATGGACACATGTCACTGCTGGAACAAACAGGACTGGCTCAAGCTGTTCACGAGGGGAGGACGTTCAGATCGTCAACGATCACCAACATCACTCTTGGAGGTGAGCCCAGACTGGAATACGTGACTGTAGACCAGATAAAGCCTGGATGGCAGAAGAGTGGTGTAAGATGAGGACAACATGCACAAAGGCTTACACTGTATTTTCAGTTATACTTGTTTTTCTATTTCTTTTTAAGCCCCAAAATACGCACAAACAAAACTATTTCATTCTTAATCTTTTATACTGAATTATCTCAGTTCCAGACTCAGGAACATTATAATTCTAGCTAACTTAATTAAGCTCACAATCCAGTTMAGAAAAACTGAATTAAGGCACCTGGTCTGCTTTATCACATTTGTTTCTGGGGCATATAGTCATCTTACCAGTTTTTGCATTGGTTGCCTTTTAGATAACATTTACTGTACTGTTGTTGGACTTTGAACAAAGTTAGCCTAGTGCTTCACATAATGTTCTGCCTGTAAAAGGTCTACGATGCAGGTAGATCTCCACACACATGACAATCATGACAAATATAACAATCATTAACTAACACTGTGACATAACACACATTTAGTGTGAACATGTGCTAGCACACACATTTAGAAGCTGAGGAACATTCCTGTGAAAAATACTGTTGCTTTGCTGAGTCATTAAAATGAGTTATTTATTTATTTATTTATTTATTTATTTTATTTATTTATTAGCAGTTTTTGTTTCAGTTGCACTAAATCATAGTGAGAAACTTTTACATTTTTATTCTTTTACGACTATTTTAACTAAAGTGAGTACCAATAAAAAAAAAAACCACCATTATTTTGAGTAGAACAACCAAAGGCAATGTGTTTGAAAATAAAAGTGTAACAATTCTGATTTGTCACATCATCAAAACTGGGTCAATATTTAAATTTGTCACAAATTCAACTAAATAAATTATTTCTGCCGATAAAATAAAATTTGCCTTTGCTGCTGTGGAATGATCAGTCTTAAAATGAATAACTTCATATAATACCTGATAGAAACATACCGACAAATCAGTCGATGTCGTCAATTTTTATCTCAGACAGTTCTGGTAATACATAGCCTGAGACTTTCTTTTTTCCTATTTCGTTGGAAGGATTTGAACACTTGTTTTGGTCAGACACCATTGATTTTATTTTGGATCCAAAAAACTAAAATTTCATTAATTTTTAATAATTTTTTATAACATTTTACTTCAGTTCCTCCTCAGTTGGCTTATACGCAGCAGTAGTTTTAACATGACTTTTTCTGAAGAAAACAACCTCTGAAAGTATGAATTATAGAAGTTTCACAGTCAGAAAAAATCAAATAAAAAAGATTGCTTTAAAATAAAAACAAATTGTGAGAATGTTTTGGTAACATTTGATTTAAATCTAACTTCAGGACTGCAGGGTGACGTGTGTGACTGGTTGCTGCAGTGCCCGGCAGGATATAAATGTACCCCTGAGCCCGGCACCACAAACTACAGCTGCTCTTCTGTGTGCCGCTTTGATTACTGCCATCATCACGGCATCTGCACGCACCATCCTGGCCAACTTCCTGTCTGCCGGTAAGYATGTTGGCACAAAAACATCTGCAAATGTCCTAGAAGTGTAAAAATKAGGGTTTTGTTKGCCTCTTCAGGTGTCTGGTYGGTGATGACTTCTGGTACATGGGCCAGAGGTGTAATATGAGGATGACTCATTGGCGCCTTGTTGGTGTGTGTCTCACCATCTTACTCATCATAACCACTGTGGTTGGCTCTTTGGCCTTTGTGGCTGTACGRCACTATCGGGCCATTCTGATCCAGGCCAAAGTGGACCAGACTCGCAGCAGGTAMTCAACACTCAGGAATCAACATTATTAATCCCATTTTTGTTGAAATTCACTGTCACTTTAAGGTTTTAAAGACCACTTTAATAAAATTTTGCAAATGTTGCTACCATAGCCATTTATGTGCTGCCTAATGTCATTAAATTTAGCCATCTTGAATTGCATCGGAGTAGGTGCATGTCCAGTTATTACTATGATATATATTTTTTATCTGTCCAGTGGTTTATGAAATATTTTGCTAACAGAGTTGACTCTACCATTAAATGCCAAAAGC